CGGAAAAATCGTTCGAAATCTGTGATGGTACCCCTTTGGAATCTGACCGGGAATAAATCTGCCCAAATTGGTGCTTAATGGACTTAATCATCGTTGAAGAATAGCCTCAGGGCGATTCCGTGATCAGTAGCCTTCAAAATCCAAATAAAATGGCCTTTCGTCGCCCCATAAATTACGAAAATGCCATCCGAAAATAAATTGGCCTAAATCGTTGCTTAATGGACTTATCATCCGTGGAGAATAGGATCAATAGACTTCATTGTCGGTGGAGACTAGCCTCGCCCTAATTTCGTGATCTGTATCCTCTAGAGTCCAATGAAATGGCATTTCGGAAAAATCGCTCGAAATCTATGATGGTACCCCTTTGGAATCTGCCAAAAATTAACCCGGAATAAATCCGCTCAAATCGGTGCTTAATGGACTTAATCATTGTTGAAAATAGTCTCAGGCCGAATCCGTTACCTGTAGCCTTCAAAATCCAAAGAAAATGGCCTTTCGTCGCCCCATAAATTACGAAAATGCCATCCGAAAATAAATTGGCCTAAATCGTTGCTTAATGGACTTATCATCCGTGGAGAATAGGGTCAATAAACTTCATTGTCGGTGGAGACTAGCCTCGGTCTGATTCCGTGATCTGTATCCTCCAGAATCCATTCAAAATGTCATTTCGGAAAAATCGCCCGAAATCTGTGATGGTACCCCTTTGGAATCTGCCAAAAATTAACCCGGAATAAATCCACCCAAATCGGTGCTTAATGGACTTAATCATTGTGAAAAATTGCCTTAGGCCGAATCTGTGACATTTAGCCTTCAAAATCCAACGAAAATGGCCTTTCGTTCGCCACATAAATTACGAAAATCCATCCGAAAATAAATTGGGCCAAATCGGTGCTTAATGGACTTGTTATCTGTGGAGAATAGGATCAATAGACTTCATTATCGATGGAGAATAGCCTCGGCCTGATTCCGTGATCTGTAGCCTCAAGAATCAAAAGAAATTGGCATTTCGGAAAAATCGCCTGAAATAGGTGATGGTACCCCTTTTGAATCTGCCAAAAATTGACCAGGAATAAATCCGCCCAAATAGGTGCTTAATGGATTTAATCATTGTTGAAAAATAGCTTCAGGCCGAATCCTCGACCTGTAGCTTGCAAAATCCAAAGAAAATGGCCTTTTCTTCGGCTCTTAAATTACGAAAATACCATCCAAAAATAAATTGGCCCAAATCGGTGCTTAATGGACTTATCATCCGTGGAGAATAGGATCAATAGACTTCATTATCGGTGGAGAATAGCCTTGGCCTGATTCCGTGATCAGTATCCTCAAGAATCCAATGAAAATGGCATTTCGGAAAAATCGCCCGAAATAAGTGATAGTACCCTTTTGGAATCTGCCAAAAATTGACCAGGAATAAATCCGCCCAAATAGGTGCTTAATGGACTTAATCATTGTTGAAAAATAGCTTCAGGCCGAATCCGCGACCTGTAGCTTTCAAAATCCAAAGAAAATGGCCTTTCGTTCGCCTCATAAATTACGAAAATACCATCCGAAAATAAATTGTCCCAAATCGGTGCTTAATGGACGTATCATCCATGGAGAATAGGATCAATAGACTTCATTATCGGTGGCGAATAATTGCGGCCTGATTCTGTGATCTGTAGCCTCAAGAATCGAAAGAAAATGGCATTTTGGAAAAATCGCCCGAAATCTGTGATGGTACCCCCTTGGAATCTGCCAAAAATTGACCTGGAATAAATCCACCCAAATTGGTGCTTAATGGACTTAATCATTGTTGAAAATTAGCCTCAGGCCGAATCCGTGACCTGTAACCTTCAAAATTCAAAGAAAATGACCTTCGTCGCCCCATAAATTAAAAAATGCCATCCGAAAATAAATTGGCCTAAATCGTTGCTTAATGGACTTATCATCGATGGAGAATAGGATCAATAGACTTCATTATCGGTGGAGACTAGCCTCGGCCTTATTCCGTGATCTGTATCCTCCAGAATCCATTGAAAATGGCATTTCGGAAAAATCGCCCGAAATCTGTGATGGTACCCATTTGGAATATGCCGAAAATCGAACCGGAATAAATCCGCCTTAAGCGGTGCTTAATGGACTTAATCGTCGTTGAAGAATAGCCTCAGCCTGAATCTGTGACCAGTAGCCTTCAAAATCCAAAGAAAATGACCTTTCGTCGCCCCATAAATTACGAAAATGCCATCCAAAAATAAATTGGCCTAAATCGTTGCTTAATGGACTTATCATCCGTGGAGAATAGGATCAATAGACTTCATTGTCGGTGGAGACTAGCCTCGGCCTGATTCCGTGATCTGTAGCCTCAAGAATTGAAAGAAAATGGCATGTCGGAAAAATCGCCAGAAATCTGTGATGGTACGCCTTTGGAATCTGCCAAAAATTGACCCGGAATAAATCCGCCCAAATCGGTGCTTAATTGACTTAATCATTGTTGAAAAATAGCCTCAGGCCGAATCCGTGACATGTAGCCTTCAAAATCCAAAGAAAATGGCATTTCGTTCGCCCCATAAATTAAGAAAATGCCATCCGAAAATAAATTAGCCCAAATCGGTGCTTAATGGACTTGTTATCCGTGCGGAATAGGATCAATAGACTTCATTATCGATGGAGAATAGCCTCGGCCAGATTCGTGATCTGTAGCCTCAAGAATCAAAAGAAAATGACATTTCGGAAAAATCGCCCGAAATCTGTGATGGTACCCCTTTGGAATCTGCCAAAAATTGACCTGGAATAAATCCGCCCAAATCGGTGCTTAATTGACTTAATCATTGTTGAAAAATATCCTCAGGCCGAATCCGTGACATGTAGCCTTCAAAATCCAAAGAAAATGGCATTTCGCCCCATACATTAAGAAAATGCATCCGAAAATAAATTAGCCCAAATCGGTGCTTAATGGACTTGTTATCCATGGAGAATAAGATCAATAGACTTCATTATCGATGGAGAATAGCCTCGGCCTGATTCGTGATCTGTAGCCTCAAGAATCGAAAGAAAATGGCATTTCGAAAAAATCGCCCGAAATCTGTGATGGTACCCCTTTGGAATCTGCCAAAAATTGACTCGGAATAAATTCGCCCAAATCGGTGCTTAATGAACTTAAGCATCGTTGAAGAATAGACTCAGGTCGAATCCGTGACCTGTAGCTTTCAAAATCCAAAGAAAATTGCCTTTCGTCACCCCATAAATTACGAAAATGCCATTCGAAGATAAATTGGCCCAAATCGGTGCTTAATGGACTTATCTTCCGTGGAGAATATGATCAATAGACTTCATTGTCGGTGGAGAATAGCCTCGGCCTGATTCCGTGATCTGTATCCTCAAGAATCCAATGAAAATGGCACTTCGGAAAAATCGCCCGAAATCTGTGATGGTACCCCTTTGGAATCTGCCAAAAATTGACCCGGAATTAGGGCTGCAAATGAGTCGAGTCGAGTCGGGTTTTACCCCAGCTTGAGCTCGGCTCGTTAATAAACGAGTCGAGCTCGAGCTCAGCTCGTTTATTAACGAGCCGAGTCGAGTCGAGCTCGAGCTAGCTTATTTATTAAAATCTTAACTTTTATTTGGTACTTCATTTTGTATATCATGATACATATGATTTATTGTTAGTTAATATCATCTTATAATTTATACTTTGTTGGTATCATATATCGTTTAGTTAATAAATTTTAACTACTCCAAATCATGTTATTTCATTGTATCGAAGCAATCCATGATGCATAATTTCTTTTTAAAGTAGAAAATAAGATATATTTGCTCACATACTCAACGTGCAAAACTTTATATATGGTTAGATATATAAATTAACAACCATATGACAAATGACACTCACCGCCCATCGGGCCGGCACGAACTAGTATAAGATGTGTTGGTTATAATTCAATATCATACCATTTTGGTTATGATTCATTTAGTATTTGTACATCCACCCACCTATTAATTTATGTTATCTTCATGAACAAGTGGGTGGACACTGGTCCTTTTGTGCTTCTCTAAATTCCTTCCCAAATAATTTTAAATAGCTAAAAAACAAAAAAGGCCAAAAATAGAGTTTTTAAATATTCACTCTTCCTCTAGATTTTTTCATCATCCACTTTCAGAAAATAGAAATCAGCAATTCTCCTGTCCACAATTAACTAACATCAGACACTCTTCTCCCACTCCAAAGACGTGGCAGACACCCAGGCCAATCAAGCTACCACACCTACTTGGTTACACTTACACTGAACCCTAGCTCTCCTAAATTTAAGTTCTGGGTAATGTCAATTTAAAGAAGGTGGTGAATTACACAGATGATGATTAACTTCAAGGTTACGAACAAATCGATCTGGAAGGTGGATGAGTTCGAGCGCTATGCTGAATGTATAATCCACACAACAGTACCATACTATTCAGGTTTATCTTTGTTATGTCTTTGTTTAAATTATCCAGACACATCTGTCAATTCAACTAGTTTAATAATGAAAAGTTACCTAGAACACCTCATCAACTACCTGCCACCTGGCAGTGAGGGGATGAGACTGTAGTCGCCATGGGCAATGATATATGAAATTCAATTGAATAATCAATTTGATTTGTGGACTTTAGTGGTATTAATCACATGTTCTACGATTTCAAACGATGAAGTCTTCCTTAGTACATCAACTATGGTTTCTTATTTCTTTAGAAATAATCAAATAGGGCTATCACCTGACTCATGAATAAGCTTTGGCCTCAAATCGAAAACGGATAGTCGAGAAAGCATTGAACATTTATTCTTCAGATGCCCCCTAGCCATCAGATTGTGGACTTTAGTGAGATTGAGCAACTTTATTAAGACCGCCTCGACTGTTAACTTTAGTCTATGGTGGCGACATGTCATGGTCTCTGAGACCTCCACATTTCACATTCTCCAATGCGTCTGCTTACATTGGAGAATCTGGAGGTCTATAAATAAAGTGATTTTTGAATTCTACCAACCTCATGTCCGTTCCCTAGCCATACATTTCTACCACCAGGTCCTTGATATCTCAAACACTCTCCTCCCTCCCCAACCCCCACAACTCTCTTCCCAAACCATCCAACCATCACATGGTTCCAGGCGCCAGACGATTATTTGAAGATCAATTTCGACGCTGCTGTTTGTGTCGCCGGGTGTTCGTCTGGGCTTGTTGTCCTTTGGTCAGACGGACATGTGGTGTTGGCGTTCGGGTTACAACATCAAGAAATAGTCAATCTTCCCTGGCAGAGCTCCTAGCCATTAGAGTCGCTATTTCCATAAGCACCTGAATATCTTTGACTCACGTGATAGTCGAAGGTGATTCCGAAGTGGTCGTCAAGCAGATCCGGCAAGGTTTCATAGAAGACTCGATTGGTGGTCTGGTGCTACGAGAGTGTCGTCAGATCCTTAGCTCTTTGTCCATTTGTATAGAGTTTAGGGCGGTATCTAGAACTGCCAACAGTGTTGCCCATAGAGTGGCGCGTAAAGCACTGCTTTTGACTTGTCTAGAGCTAGAATCTTTCGACTTTTTAGGGTGGCTTCATTATAATATATTGTAAAAGGTCCTGGATATATTTGTATGAATAACTCTTGTCCTCTATTGATATCATTAAAAAAAATCAATTTGATTTGGGTCATATTAGAGGACTCTCGTAAGGATAGCCGGAATCCGCCTCCGTGGGCTTCACATTTTGCCCTCAAACAAGTTTAATGCATCTATTTAAACAAAATGTGTGTAATGTTACTCTAGTGACAAATTTGCTAAGAATTAAACTCCAGGGATGAATTTCCCACTAGCCCTAAAGTTTAGGTGGTCGTTTGATTAGTTTACCCGTATAAAGAAAATTTGAGGAAATGAAAGAGGTGGGGCAGTCTTGTGGATTGGGATGGCAGTTGTGTTGAAACTTGAAAGTGCTACCCAACGCCAACTCCTTTAACCTTTCTTCCTCTCGTCTCCTTTTCCCCCAGAATCACAAATCGGAAAATCCAAAAAGGGTCTCCGAATTTGGGTGTTAGGGTTCTAAAGTTTCAATCTTTTCTCTTTGTTTCTACCAATTCGTAGAGCTAGAGATAGATAGATTACACTTTTCTCACATAGCCATGGAAGGAGAAGGTTCGCTGGAGTTTCAGGACTGGGAGGTTCTTGCTCATTCCGAAACCGAAGCTGTTGTGGTTAGCTCCCCTGTATTGGAGGAGAATCTGAGGAGTTTCGACGAAATCGAGGCTGATTCCGGCGGGATGATCAGGTTGGATTACTTCTCTATTGGAAATGATAGCATGTTTGATAAATCCGTTGTTGCTTGTGCTGGTGAGGTAGAGAGCTCTGTTGAGTCTGATAATCCGAGTTGGATCGATCCTGCTATTGAAAATCGGTTCGAGGGCAAAAATTCAGTTGGCTTCTGGTCTGATTCGGCTAGTGATCGGTCGGATGACCAGAAAGTTAGTGACTTTGATGTTAGAAATGAATTGGGTGCTGAAAAATTCGCCAAGAGCGAGGAAATTGAAGCTAAGGAAGTTGATGGAAGGGAGTTTGATCAGCTGGTGAGCGAGCTTTCAAGCTGTGAGGCGAAGAGTGAATCAAGTTTTGAGGAGAATGTGAAGAGTCGCCAACTGGTTTTTGAAGAAATTGAGCAGAAGCTAGGGAAGGAGAAAGATATGACCAAGTTCTGGTCTGATTCTGGTGGTGATGGCTTGGTTTTGGGTTCTGAGGTTATGAGTGACGAAGCCACTCGTGGTGGGAATGATACGGTGGAGGAAAACTCGCGTGTTGTTGAAGCTGGGGACGGGAAATCGGATGGTGGTGATGAGGGGAAGAAGCAGCCAGTGGTCTGGTGGAAAGTTCCGTTTGAGTTGTTGAAGTGCTGTGTTTTCAGAGTTAGCCCTGTGTGGACTTTCTCAATGGCTGCAGCTCTAATGGGCTTCGTCATCTTGGGTCGGAAGTTATATAAGATGAAGCGCAAGGCGAGGAGCTTGGAGCTTAAAGTTACCCTTGATGATAAGGTCGGTATATTGCTTTGTATCCTTTTAGGATGTTCGAACTTTAGATCATGTGGTAAGATGTCGAAAGTTACACGCCAATGCAATGATGATTATGTGTTCAAACTTGTGAATCCTTATTCATATGTGCTACTTAGATAGCTTCCCGTACTACCATAAGTTTAATGATCTTATCTGTTTTCTTGTTCATGTTTTCCTTCTGCCTAAAAGAATTGGTATTTTGATACTCAAATGCATTTCCAAAGAGCATTATAAAAAAAAATGCATTTCCAAAGAAAGACCAGCTATCATTTATTTACCAGTTAACTCACACTAACATATCTTGGTTGTTAGTTTATATTTTGTGCGTATTCGTTTCTCTTAGTCTTTTGTATTCATTCAAATTGTGAATTGCCATTTCATCATTTGATTATAGAAATTTTTGCTGCACATTATATATCTATTCCATGAACTGGATGGGGGATATTACCTGTAATTTTGATATTATGAGTATGCTGTTCATTCTTTGAAAGCCTCTTCAGTCAACTGCATATAGTTTTCAGAAGTGTTTGCTTATCTTTATAGAAACCAATGTGAAAAGACTTTGTTCTCGCTTGTTTAACCACACAAATGTATTGTTGTTGAAACCTTTTCAAACATTCTACATGCCGCGAACTTACTTCTGATTTCGTTTTCTTTGTGTTTTTTCTCATTTCTGCAGAAGGTGTCGCAGTTCATGAGCCGTGCTGCACGACTCAACGAAGCATTCTCCGTCGTGAGACGGGTTCCCATTGTCCGGCCTATGCTACCAGCTGCTGGTGTGAACCCATGGCCTGTGATGAGCATGAGATGAACTAACAGCAGAGATTTATTGTGCAGTTGAGGGAAGTACAAAAAAAGAAATAAGCATTATGGGGAACTAAGTGCAGCTTGCTTGCTTTTGGTGTTTCTTGCTTTCTACTTTCATCTTTTGTCGCTCCTGGAGGCCTCTTTTGGTCCATATATTATGTGCATAAAACTTGCAGCCTGAAAACTACTGAATCACTCTCCCCCTCTCTTCTGTTCATCTTGTGTTTGTATAATTATAATTATTCCCTAAGTAAAAGTTATGGCTGAAATAATCTCATCCAATATATATTACTTGTTTATTACTTGTTGCTCTCTAGATTCCTGTCACAAATTGTGGATGATACTTCAGGTAGTTATGGACAAATAAGAACTATATCCCTGTAACTCGTTAAAAGTTCATACCTGCTTGGTATTCGGACTGTGCAACTTTGCATAATCGGTTTGTACAGTAAGATTACACTAACACTGTCAAGTATGTCAAGAGGTCCATACTCTGGGTGATGCATCTGAACTGTATTGTTCCTTCTAATAGCTCATCACTCGAATCGTGAGATCGCTATGGTTATCTTTTCGATCCAAGTTTTATCTGATCAATTAAAATGCTAATCATTCACAACTTTGAATCTATACCTCTTTTGAGAACCTACTTTTTCCTTGATCTCCATAGAAAACAGAGAGGTGTCGGCAGCCTAGTTTGTCAAGGAATGCCGACTTATATAGTGGAAGTGAAACCCAGCAATAATGGTTTGCAAATGACATTTCGACTGCTTTCATGACAATGACATAGTACAAGTACTTATTTGTGAAAGAGATTTAGTACAAGGACCTAAAATGACATTTAACCCCAAAATATCACTCGCTATACCGCAAAAACAAGGCGTGTACTGTAAAGGTTCTGGAGAGAATCAAATAACAAATTGGTGATGGCAACAAAGGAACCAATAATCAGATCGAAATCAAATTCTTCCGTTCGGCTCCTGATCCTCTCTCTGCAACCCTAAGCTCCTAGCCTACTTCGCACGTCTTTGCCACCGCCACTGGAGGACTCCTCAGTCCGGCCGTACGTCAGTCCGACTCCCTCAGTCTCGCCGCAGGTCCGCCGTCAGAAGTCCGGCCGCGCCTCCCTCCGTCGCGAGCCAGCTGCCTCCCTCTTGTAAGGTGGCGAGTCTTTCCCCTTCATTTTGTTTATCCTAGATTTCGGCCGACTGACGGACAGCGAGAGATTGGTAGAGGAAGTAAGAACAAGTGAGAGTGGAATGAATTGTAAAAGAGGCAGAGAGAAGAGCTTGTTTATCGAGCAACTCGTATGTGAATTCCAATTGGTTTCTTTTTTTGGGCGGAGTGAAGATTCTTTGTCTCCGTCTAGGCTTTTGCTTAGGTTGGAAGTAATAATGTTCGACATTCCGTTGGATTGCGCTTTATTCTGTACTTGGTCTGTTCAATTTCCTCGTTTGTGGGAAGAATCTCTAGTTGTTGAGCTTCAGGTGGTCCTGAATTTCTGTACTCTCTCTTTTTGTTTAATATATTTTCTCACATGTGCTGTTTCTTTGAATCTATTTGTTGCAGAGGGGGGGAGGCGTTGGGGTGTCGAAAAAGTTTGAATCTTTTGAATTGGTTTTCCACTTTTCATGCTTGAAGTGTGTTCAGAACAATGCAGAAGGATATAGGATCACCAACATCTACGCCTAGATTGCGGCATAGGAGACGATCGAATGAGGTTTGTTGTTTTTGCTTAACTCTGTAGTCTGGACTCAAAATTGTTCACTCTCAAGGTGCATATGTGCTGTTTGCTGCTGTTCATTTCTTGAGGATCATATTGGTTTCATGCCCTGTCTGCGATCTTTCTGAAGCTTGGTTCCTAGAATGGTTCAATTGTATAATAGTGGTGAGTATTTTCACATTAGTTAAGAGGGCTGATATATGTATTTGGTTGCCAGATTCCACAGGATATAAATAAATCAAATGGCGACCATTTACTCATTAATGACCAAAACAAGTACAAATCAATGTGGATTCGCACGTTGTCATCCTTTTGGATGCTCGGGAGCTTTGTGTTTGCTCTTTATATGGGGCATCTATACATTTGGGCCATGGTGGTGGTTATCCAAATATTTATGGCAAGTGAGCTCTTCAACTTACTTAGGAGAGCTCATGAAAATAAGCGTCTTCCTGGGTTTAGGCTATTGAACTGGTAAGCATGCAAGTGTTTCAGAGGGTGCCGATTCAGGTTCCTGTTTGTTTATCTATTGATATATTGAATTCCGTGCAACCAGGTTATACATGAGGATGACGTACTAATTTATTGTCTTATGGTGATGTGGCAGGCACTTCTTCTTCACTGCAATGCTTTTTGTATATGGCCGTATTATCAGTCAGCGACTTGTGAACACGGTCACATCAGATAATATCTTCTACAGGCTTGTTGGTGGTTTTGTCAAGTACCACATGGCCATATGTTATTTTCTATATATTGCAGGTGCGTAAGTTTTATAATTTGCCCTGTTAAGTGCTCTGCAATGTTGCTAATAGGGTAGTGCGTTCTGTTGGTCTGTTTTTTAATCAGTAGTTAATGCTTTTCTCGTTTCTTCAGGGTTTGTGTGGTTCATCTTGACATTGAAGAAGAAGATGTACAAGTATCAATTTGGCCAATATGCTTGGACACACATGATTCTCTTTGTAGTATTCGCTCAATCTGCATTCACTGTGGCCAATATCTTTGAAGGGATCTTTTGGTAAAGCAACTTCCCTTTGCTGTCACTGTCCCTTGATATTCATATAGCTGTTGATTGTTTTTTAAAAGCCACGTTATGATGGCTGAAATTCAGGAACAATTATATGTTATTGTTAGGCTGGATGATTTAAAAAAAAAAAAAAGCCTGAAACAGTTAATTTTGTTTTATGATCTAGTCTTGGTATCTTCATTTATTTTTATGCAGCCTGAGAACTTGAGACACATATATATGCAGGTTTCTTCTCCCGGCATCACTTATCGCAGTCAATGATGTTGCTGCTTATTTCTTTGGCTTCTTTTTCGGCAAAACTCCTTTGATCAAATTGTCTCCAAAGAAAACGTGGGAGGGTTTTATTGGAGCTTCTGTTGCCACTATGATTTCAGCATTCGTGGTAGGTTTCATTCCATTGACTCATTTGCATTTAAGCGCTCTATTTTTATCTTTCATGAGTCTGCTTGTATTAAGCTCTTGTTCCATAGTCTTTTTGGTCTACAAGATTTCAGAACATTGCCTGTATTGATCTAAGATTTACAACAATAGTGTTGAGAAAGAGAGATTCACAACCGTAGGCTTTGCCTGGTGATGTGGTTTCTTCGTTTTATAGATGGTCTATTTGTAGGGTAATTGGACGGAACATTTAACACGAATGGGTTCGTAACTTGGCTAGTGTGCGTTCATGCCTGATGTAGAAGAAAGAAATGAGAGATTTTATAACGAGGCACATGCCAAGAGTAGAGATTTATGTAAATGTTCCTCTTAATATTCCTCTTAATGTTCTTTTGGGTGGAGAAGGATTTGCCATCTATCAGGTTATACTGATTTGATTACTATCTGATGTATGTACTTATCTCATGCAGCTTGCAAACATCATGGGCCAGTTCCAGTGGCTAACATGTCCTAGAAAAGTATGTTTTTCTTAGTCTCTAAAGAATGTACAGTCTTTCTGTGAAAATAGAAAAGAGCGGTCTTGGATTTTATAGAACTATCCCTCATTGTGAGGTAAACCACATGCAGGATTTATCGACAGGGTGGCTTGACTGTAATCCTGGCCCTCTTTACAAACCTGAGCCCTATCCTTTACCCGAATGGCTTCCACATTGGGTGAGTGATTGCATGGAAATCTATATCTTCATGATGATTTGAAATCAATCATCTTGAAACAGGAGAGTGATGCTCGTGATAGCTGACATAGTTTCTTTTCCTTATGTTCTATATATAGGTACCTTGGAAGGAGATTTCAATCTTGCCAGTCCAGTGGCATGCGCTGTGGCTGGGTTTATTTGCATCAATTATAGCACCTTTTGGAGGCTTCTTTGCCAGTGGATTCAAGAGGGCTTTCAAAGTGAAAGTAGGGTTCTTGTTTATGACTACAAATGATGAATGAATGAATGAGTGGGATTTAACAGGTTTTTCCATGGTTTCTAACATGGTATTTCTCATCTCTTCTGTCTTGATATAAAAATACAGGATTTTGGGGATAGCATACCAGGACACGGTGGATTCACAGATAGAATGGATTGCCAGGTAAGCATGGCAACCTCTATACCCACAAACTATCTTTTTCTAATGTGAACTCCTATGGATCATTGCTGATATGAACCCTCGCTCTTTCTTCATATGCATTGCAGATGGTGATGGCAGTCTTTGCTTACATCTATCACCAGTCGTTTGTTGCTCCTAACGACTCGTCGATCGAGATGATTATGAACCAGGTAGGATCTCGCTAGGATGAAATAAACCTACTCTAAACCGGTTTCGTTTATCTGTTTGATTTTGATATTATTCTTCGTTGGTGGGTGAGCAGATATTGGGCAGCCTAACGCTGGAAGAGCAGCGAGATTTGTACATGAAGCTAGGGCAGATACTTCAGGAGAGGCTTAGACTATCATCGTGAAGTTCTGTAGATAACATCTGTGCTTGCTTTTACTCTTGAGTGCTTACAAACTTCCCCACTCCCCTGATGGAAGATAAATCTTATAGCGGCGGCTTCCTTTTCTCGCCCCCCTTTTCCCTTTGGGACTCAAGCTTCTGTTTAGCTCTTATCCCCTTTTTTTGCAGCTAATATTATCATTCTTATCATATGGCCTTCTGATCTGTAATCGATATTCGCCCCGATGTATCATATTAGCTACACAAAATCTCTTCTTTGGTGCTAAACGATTTGTATTGCATGGAATCGAGAGATTTCAAACTTGTTGAAGAAGATCCCCTCGAGTAACAGAAGTTAATGTCGAAGTTGTGATAACTGTAAGTGTGATTGAATGGCTAGCATAGAACCCATTCTAAAGAGTTTGGTGGGTTGTCTAACAATTGCTTCAAAATTAGATTGTCCAATGTGGACATACGAACGAGTTCAATGGTCAAGTTGATGTTTAACCTGACAGACGAGAACTCTTGGTCTGGAATAGAGAACCAACACTGGAAGCTACACAAGTTAGATGTGATGGTGTGAGCATTTTCTACTTTGACAATTGTCTGAACCCTAATTAAGTTGTTGAAATTAGTCAAACTAAAACTTAATGGATAACATGAAATTTTACAATCAATTTCAAAACAGGTTCTTTAGCTTGGGATGTCGGACAAAAACAAGTCGAGCTCTAGCTTCACTCCAAGACCACGTTGGTCATCCCTATCAGTAGCATGCCAATCTTGTCTTGATGTTTCAAAAACTCATACGTTCTAGTCGACTGTATACCTCATAAGGGACACTTTATACCACCAAGTACACAACGTTGTTGTTGCTCTCTTTGATCATCGTATGTTAGTGATCGTTACGTGATTTTGTGAATGGTTTTACTATCCGTTCCGTTATTGCACACATTTTCATAAATAAAAGTAATTCAACCCATCTCAAGATTTCACCATCCAAAATCATGTCCAACATAGCAAATCAAGAATTCCAACCAACAACGTAACTCAAGAGGCCAAAACCAGAAAGAAATTCATTTAACTAGGCAAACACACCAACCATGCATGATAATTTGTCATGAACACAACAAAACTACTCACTACAAACAAACAAACAAACCAAAATAATCCAAAATCAAAACTTCAAACACCAAATCAGTAAACAAGAACACTCACAAAAAAAAGCAACAAAAGAAAAGAAAAAAAAATCAAGTTCCCCAAACTCCATCAGCTCTCTATCACAGCCTGAACGATGGCCGCCGCCACGACGGACACGTCATGCACGGCCACGTTCAAGTCGGACAAGGGCGACTCCCCCGCTGCGAAATCCTCCTCGCACGACATGGCCTCCGTGGCAGCATCATTCGTCCCCCGGCTGGCGAACTTGTAGTTCCCTGTCCTCAGCGACATGAGCGTCTCGGGGACGTCCTGCTCCACCACAGCACGGTACCTTGAGGCGCACGCATTCAGAGCCTCCCTGACCGCCGGCTTGGAATGTTCCTTCTTGGTGAGTATGGTCTCGATTCGGCGCAGGGCGGCGGAGGCCTTCTGGGCGATGGCCCCCACCGTGATCTTGGCGAGGCCCTCGAGGTCGGTGTGGAAGGACTCAGGGCAGGAGACGAGGGTCTGGATGCAGAGGTCGTAGTAGGGGGTTTTCTTGCATGTCTGGTCGATGAGGTTGTTGCCCAGGATGTTTGGGATGCTCGGTGTCGCTTGGATGCAGGAGATGGGGTAGAGTGTGAGGATGCAGAAGATTGTGCTCCGTATCATTTTTTTCTTAATTGTGTTCTTTGTGGGGGTAATTAGTATTATTTGGAATTTTGTTTTGGGTTTGAGAGAGGTTATATTTATATATATTTTGGGTTGAGATGCCTTGATGCGGAAAAGATGGGGGAATGTCTTTGACTGAGATAAATCATTAGGAGAAACTTTGGGATCGGCTTGGTTTTAGGATCTCAAAATGTGGATGTCTTCATTTCCTTCTTATACACAATTATTAGTTAGGTTAAACTTGTAGAAAGCTAAGAGGTAGAGAATAGGTTGGTCCACTACTTATTGGGTAAATTGTAAGTTACGGTAACTTGGGTTTACTAAAATATTTCACATTTACTATTAAAATTATTTTATTTCATTTATAATTATCATCTACCGTCAAACTCCATTATTAACTTTATTTTATGTGAAAGTCAACCTTTATAATTAACGTTGCAAATAAAAAATAATTAACAATAAATTTCACCTCATTATAACAATAAATAAAACATAAAAATTATCATAACGTTTTGTGATGCTGGAGCTTCCCAAGCCTGAACTGCCTCCGGGCCCTAGAGTCGAGCTTCCTCCTCTGCCCAAACCTGCGTTAGAGCATATCAATGTAGCTAGTGTCAATTAAGTATTAACCAATCAAATGATAGCCACAAGAAGAGTGTAATTGATCTAATTTTGGGTGAAAAAATTTGTATCATGGTGATATGAAATATATGTATTCAAAATATGAAAAATATGTTACAATATTACGAAAATAGACAATGATTGTACGAGGAGTATTGGACTACGGTGATATAAAATATATAGTAGTGATATAGATGTTATATATCCCATACTAATATATATTGTACTGAAAAGGCTTTTATGAAATTTATGGAAAATTGAAATAATTTTGTAAATCTCAATCAAATTTTTTCTATGTAACCTTTTCCTTTAAAATCTAAGTAAATATGAAGAGAAAGAAAAAGCCTCTGTAAACCTTTTCAGGGTAGCAAGGGGAATGGCTTTCATCTGACTCCTTTTTTTGCATCCATTTTAATGTAACAACCAAGTGGTCCATATCCATCTGAATTTTAATGATTTCTCTTTGTTTCTCCCAGGCCATATTCATGCAGAGCCTGACCGACATTCATTTTCCTTTTATTTCTCTTCCCGGCCGTTTCAATTTGATATCCAAAGGGTAAACTGAATACAGACAAATGTAGCCATTTCATCATCCATCCATGAACATTGCCAGTGGTTGGGCTTGACCTATTTTTCATGTGATCTTATTGCTCACTATTTCTGTCCAACTCGCTTCTTAGTGTCTGGTGAAAGACCAAATCGAGTTGAAATTAGTTCGAGGTTACCACAAGCTAACAATCATTAAAAATATTGAAATTAGAAAGAGTATTGTGGATTGGATGATAGTTGCGTTGAAAGGGCTTTAACGCACCACTAACAGTCCTTAACCCTTTCTTCCTTTGAGTGCAAAAGCAAAACTCTGGATTTTCGGCCCTATAATTTTATCTACTTAATGTCATTTGTGTTAGGAAAGCATTATAGTTATTTGGTTGTCTCTAATATCTCAAAGTCGAACATAAAATTATTCCTCACTATAAATTTTATGCATGTGCATATCTTAAATGAAAAATAAAGTATAGTGGAGGAGTATATAGTATATAGTGGCAACCAATCCCCAAACAAGTTTCATTTCACTATAAAAACATATATAAACGCATAGAAAACATGGTTGGTTGCATGTTTATAATCACATGATTCTTAAATTCTTTCAAAAAAGTGAATTTAACAACAAAAATATTTGCCACAAATTCTTAAATTTGCAATTGATAATATTTATCGCTAACATCTGCCCTTAACTAGAATTACCGACATCAACATTGACAACACATATTTGTGTGCCGCTCTAATGACTATAGGGCATATAAATAACTTATGATGATAAATACACTTGACTGCTATAAATCTATTTTATTGTAGATCATATAATCCACGTTGATCACCATTAATTATTACATTATGTTATATATGGTTGAAGTAGTCAAAATTCTCCAAGAATTTGAATGTGCCTACAAACAAAGAGTTGATGTAATTGTGAGTGCTGATCGAAAAAAAAAGAATGAGAGAAAGAAAAAGCCTCTGTAAACCTTTTCAGGGTAGCAAGGGGAATGGCTTTCATCTGACTGCTTTTTTTGCATCCATTTTAGTGTAACAACCAAGTGGTCCCTATCCATCTGAATTTTAATGATTTCTGTTTGTTTCTCCCAGCCCCAGCCCAAATCCATGCAGAGCCTGACCGACATTCATTTTCCTTTTATTTCTCTTCCCGGCCGTTTCAATTTGATATCCAAAGGGTAAACTGAATACAGACAAATGTAGCCATTTCATCATCCATCCATGAACATTGCCAGTGGTTGGGCTTGACCTATTTTTCATGTGATCTTATTGCTCACTATTTCTGTCCAACTCGCTTCTTAGTGTCTGGTGAAAGACCAAATCGAGTTGAAATTAGTTCGAGGTTACCACAAGCTAACAATCATTAAAAATATTGAAATTAGAAAGAGTATTGTGGATTGGATGATAGTTGCGTTGAAAGGGCTTTAACGCACCACTAACAGTCCTTAACCCTTTCTTCCTTTGAGTGCAAAAGCAAAACTCTGGATTTTCGGCCCTATAATTTTATCTACTTAATGTCATTTGTGTTAGGAAAGCATTATAGTTATTTGGTTGTCTCTAATATCTCAAAGTCGAACATAAAATTATTCCTCACTATAAATTTTATGCATGTGCATATCTTAAATGAAAAATAAAGTATAGTGGAGGAGTATATAGTATATAGTGGCAACCAATCCCCAAATAAGTTTCATTTCACTATAAAAACATATATAAACACATAGAAAACATGGTTGGTTGCATGTTTCTAATCACATGATTCTTAAATTCTTTCAAAAAAGTGAATTTAACAACAAAAATATTTGCCACAAATTCTTAAATTTGCAATTGATAATATTTATCGCTAACATCTGCCCTTAACTAGAATTACCGACATCAACATTGACAACACATATTTGTGTGCCGCTCTAATGACTATAGGGCATATAAATAACTTATGATGATAAATACACTTGACTGCTATAAATCTATTTTATTGTAGATCATATAATCCACGTTGATCACCATTAATTATTACATTATGTTATATATGGTTGAAGTAGTCAAAATTCTCCAAGAATTTGAATGTGCCTACAAACAAAGAGTTGATGTAATTGTGAGTGCTGACCGAAAAAAAAAGAATGAGAGAAAGAAAAAGCCTCTGTAAACCTTTTCAGGGTAGCAAGGGGAATGGCTTTCATCTGACTCCTTTTTTTGCATCCATTTTAGTGTAACAACCAAGTGGTCCCTATCCATCTGAATTTTAATGATTTCTGTTTGTTTCTCCCAGCCCCAGCCCAAATCCATGCAGAGCCTGACCGACATTCATTTTCCTTTTATTTCTCTTCCCGGCCGTTTCAATTTGATATCCAAAGGGTAAACTGAATACAGACAAATGTAGCCATTTCATCATCCATCCATGAACATTGCCAGTGGTTGGGCTTGACCTATTTTTCATGTGATCTTATTGCTCACTATTTCTGTCCAACTCGCTTCTTAGTGTCTGGTGAAAGACCAAATCGAGTTGAAATTAATTCGAGGTTACCACAAGCTAACAATCATTAAAAATATTGAAATTAGAAAGAGTATTGTGGATTGGATGATCGTTGCGTTGAAAGGGCTTTAACGCACCACTAACAGTCCTTAACCCTTTCTTCCTTTGAGTGCAAAAGCAATACTCTGGATTTTCGGCCCTATAATTTTATCTACTTAATGTCATTTGTGTTATGAAAGCATTATAGTTATTTGGTTGTCTCTAATATCTCAAAGTCGAACATAAAATTATTCCTCACTATAAATTTTATGCATGTGCATATCTTAAATGAAAAATAAAGTATAGTGGAGGAGTATATAGTATATAGTGGCAACCAATCCCCAAACAAGTTCCATTTCACTATAAAAACATATATAAACGCATAGAAAACATGGTTGGTTGCATGTTTCTAATCACATGATTCTTAAATTCTTTCAAAAAAGTGAATTTAACAACAAAAATATTTGCCACAAATTCTTAAATTTGCAATTGATAATATTTATCGCTAACATCTGCCCTTAACTAGAATTACCGACATCAACATTGACAACATATATTTGTGTGCCGCTCTAATGACTATAGGGCATATAAATAACTTATGATGATAAATACACTTGACTGCTATAAATCTATTTTATTGTAGATCATATAATCCACGTTGATCACCATTAATTATTACATTATGTTATATATGGTTGAAGTAGTCAAAATTCTCCAAGAATTTGAATGTGCCTACAAACAAAGAGTTGATGTAATTGTGAGTGCTGACCGAAAAAAAAGAATGAGAGAAAGAAAAAGCCTCTGTAAACCTTTTCAGGGTAGCAAGGGGAATGGCTTTCATCTGACTCCTTTTTTTGCATCCATTTTAGTGTAACAACCAAGTGGTCCCTATCCATCTGAATTTTAATGATTTCTGTTTGTTTCTCCCAGCCCCAGCCCAAATCCATGCAGAGCCTGACCGACATTCATTTTCCTTTTATTTCACTTCCCGGCCGTTTCAATTTGATATCCAAAGGATAAACTGAATACAGACAAATGTAGCCATTTCATCATCCATCCATGAACATTGTCAGTGGTTGGGCTTGACCTATTTTTCATGTGATCTTATTGCTCACTATTTCTGTCCAACTCGCTTCTTAGTGTCTGGTGAAAGACCAAATCGAGTTGAAATTAGTTCGAGGTTACCACAAGCTAACAATCATTAAAAATATTGAAATTAGAAAGAGTATTGTGGATTGGATGATAGTTGCGTTGAAAGGGCTTTAACGCACCACTAACAGTCCTTAACCCTTTCTTCCTTTGAGTGCAAAAGCAAAACTCTGGATTTTCGGCCCTATAATTTTATCTACTTAATGTCATTTGTGTTAGGAAAGCATTAAAGTTATTTGGTTGTCTCTAATATCTCAAAGTCGAACATAAAATTATTCCTCACTATAAATTTTATGCATGTGCATATCTTAAATGAAAAATAAAGTATAGTGGAGGAGTATATAGTACATAGTGGCAACCAATCCCCAAACAAGTTTCGTTTCACTATAAAAACATATATAAACGCATAGAAAACATGGTTGGTTGCATGTTTCTAATCACATGATTCTTAAATTCTTTCAAAAAAGTGAATTTAACAACAAAAATATTTGCCACAAATTCTTAAATTTGCAATTGATAATATTTATCGCTAACATCTGCCCTTAACTAGAATTACCGACATCAACATTGACAACACATATTTGTGTGCCGCTCTAATGACTATAGGGCATATAAATAACTTATGATGATAAATACACTTGACTGCTATAAATCTATTTTATTGTAGATCATATAATCCACGTTGATCACCATTAATTATTACATTATGTTATATATGGTTGAAGTAGTCAAAATTCTCCAAGAATTTGAATGTGCCTACAAACAAAGAGTTGATGTAATTGTGAGTGCTGACCGAAAAAAAAGAATGAGAGAAAGAAAAAGCCTCTGTAAACCTTTTCAGGGTAGCAAGGGGGATGGCTTTCATCTGACTCCTTTTTTTGCATCCATTTTAGTGTAACAACCAAGTGGTCCCTATCCATCTGAATTTTAATGATTTCTGT